AATCTAAAGTGCAGTACACAGACAAAAAATTAGTATGTGCTTTAGTGGCCGATGAAATGGCAATTAGACCGCAAAATTTCAAAGGAGGGCATGGAAGAGTGGACTTGGGAACAGGCACATCCAACTGTACCACGAAGGCAACAGAAGCTTACACTTTCATTCTTGTATGCTTGAATGAACACTAGAAAATCCCCTTGGGATATTTTTTGGTTCGTCGTCTATCGGGAGGTCAAAAAACTAACCTGATAAAAATATGCCTTACAAAATGCGAAGAGGCAGGCGTAAAAGTTGTTTCTCTAACATTTGACGCTCACGCAACCAATATTTCAGCCATGGAACTATTAGGTTGTCGAATAAGAAATCCGGAGAATATGAAAACTACATTCAAGCATCCAGCAGCAGACTACGACGTGGCGGTATTTTTGGATTCCAGTCACATGATAAAACTGGTTAGAAATCATTTCGAAGACAAAAAAGAATTTTTAGATCAGGACGGAAATAAATTCAAATTCAAATAGTTTATTTCAGACATAGTCCATATTAGTGTTAGTTACAAAAAAAAAATATAATATATATTTATAAATATATATATATATAAATAAAGTGGACTGGGGATTCTTGACAAAACTCAACGACATGCAAGAAAAAGAAGGATTGCACCTTGCCAACAACCTAACTCGAAAACACCTCGAATTTAGGACTCTATCATGAAAGTAAAATTAGCTTCTCAGCTATTGAGTAGGAGTGTGGCAGTTGCATTGAAGTTTCGTCGAGAAGTATTAAAATTGAACGAATTTAAGGATAGTGAAGAGACTGAAAAGTTTATTATGATTTTCAACAACTTATTCGACATTTCTAATTCCAGAAAGCTAACACAACAGGGTTTTTGTTATCCCCTGTCCAATGCTAATAAGAATGAAATATTTAATTATTTAGATAAAGTTAAGAAGTAAATATACTTAACCTCCAGATTAAAACTACAAGGAAGCGGAAATATAAGAAAAACGAAAATTATATAAAACTTAAAATCAAGAGCTTTCAATCTACCCTTATTGTAAAGTGCTCCTCTGGGTTTAAGGGATTGCTTGTTTGTATAGAGAGCCTTAAGCATTTATTTAATACCTTAGTGGAAGGCACAAAAGAACTCGATTACATTACCACCTACAGATTCAGCCAGGACCATATCGAGCTACTTTTTGGGTCGATAAGGATGCATGGTGGACACAATGATAATCCAAACGCACTACAATTTAAGGGTAGTTATAGAAAATTACTTTGTCACATGGAATTGCAAGTTAGTGAAACTGGAAATTGCGTGCCACTAGAAAATGTTGCCATTTTTACTTGTTCATCTGCTTTGACCTGCATTAACACTACAACGTTTTCAGAGAGATTTGATGATGCAGATGAAGAAATTAAACAGTTATGTAAAACACCAATTGAAGATGTTGTCGACTTTGAAATTTCGTCGTGTAATGATGATCCTGATTATAAAAATCATATTGTTGGCTATAATAGCTGGGAACGTAGTGAGGCATGTAACTAGCCGCGTAAAATGTGTATTTTGTGTGAACAAAATGTTGGCAAAAGACAAACTATGGTTTCATAAATTGGTATGTTTAAGGGATCAAGGTGGACTAATTTATGTATCAAAGGAAGCTTATTCTATATGCAGTGTTGCTGAAACTTGTATGCGAAGTTATATCAAACAGAATCCGAGTGGCAACTCAGAGAAAGAATTAACTGTTCGGGTAATGATCAAACTCATTGGCAGGCCTCTATTTCCTACAGTGGAAGAGCACATAAATTCACAGTATCACGACACAAATTTGACAAGGCTTATTGTTGAGCGATACTTAAGTATTAGATTTTTCTACGAATCTAAAAAAGATAATATTTCTCAAATTGTGGCATCGAAACGACAATTGTTTAGAAAACAGTTACAGCTGCAAGGTTATTAAGACATTTAACTGATATTTTATTGACATAATTATTTTTTATATATATAAAAATTAATAAAGTTTTCCCACTTTTATTTCCTTAGGTTCTTAGGACCTTTAATTTATTCCACCAGCAATTTTTGAGAATAGGCAATGTCGCGGCGGTTGAAGAATTTCTACAAATGTACACCGCCGCGACAACATTTTAGGGAATTTACGATAGCTATTTTTATGGAATATATTTAGTATTTGCCTTCATTAGTTTCATGTGAAATTCATTATTCTTTCATATAGGACTCATTTAAAAAAAATTGTCTTGCCCAGACTCAAAGTTCTTAACTAAACTTATTTCAGGGAACTAACACTGACTAAAAAAGCCATCGTCAGTACTCCTAAGTCGTGTATAGATAACTTTCAGGCTCAGGTTCTTTATTGTTATCATTAGTTTTCATGTGTTTATCCACAGATAATATCAGGCAATTTATATATCCAAATTTTCATGAACTAATTTCGATAGTCGCACTTCAACTAAAATCAAATTCGATAGTCGCACTTAAACTCGCTATTAGGTTTCTATGCGTTATTATTTAAGGAATTATCTATGCAATGACTCATCATCTCGTATAGCAAGGGGTAGTATCGGTTTTTAAGTTGTTTTTTTTTTTTGTTTAGTTCATAAATAATTGATCATTCTTATTAATCGGTAATTCTTGCCTATTAAAGTAACATTGCGTGATTAAATAATGAAAATAGGCCAATAGACATTTTTGGAAAGATATCATTGATTCTTCAGGAGTCTGCGCCTTCATGATAATGGTAAAGAACTTTAGGCACGCTTATATAAAGTAAAAACGCAGACGTGTGAAGATATCCCCCACATATATGCTGGAATCTCCCTCACCCACCACAGACGACCGATACTTCCTACTATATCTTTCTAATTTGTGACCGATACTGACGCCCAAAGAGTATAGTAAGTATTTGGAAACTGCCGCCGTTAGTTGAAAGGGCCTGAAAGCAGTGTTGTCAACTAGATTAAAGCAAATGTAGCTAGCTAGAAGGTTTAAAAGTCGCTAATTTGTCGCTAAAACTATAATTCTACTCGATATGAAAAAATCTTCTCTTATGGTACAGGGTCAAGAGCACGTCAAGCTTTACACTTAAGACTTAAATTCAATTCTATGCGGCTTACGATAAGAACGGTCCAAAATACAAAGTGTGAAGCTTGATAAGGTTCATTTCATTGGCAAGAACTTTATGGTCATAGCACAGATAAGAGACAGCAGCTTGATTTTAATTGTCTCTCCCGATCGGAAACTGCTTCTATTCCGAGTCGAGGCGTATAATATTGGTTTGGCCTACCAGGTCGGATCAATTCCGATTGGAATTAAAATCAGGGCCCAGGCTTTTTTTCTTTCAACATAACTTTTGATTATAATGCCCCTCTCTATCAACCTCTTGATTAGACGGAAAGAAGAGCTCCCAGGTACCTTAAAAATTCAGGTCCTGAACCCAGAACTGTGGACAGGGTTGTCACGGAAAGTTATCACGGACTACATCCGGTGCTCAAAAGATTTCTTAAGCCATTTTTGACAGTCTCCGTGAGGAATATAAATATTCCTAAATGTAAGTAAGGTACGGTACGGTGGACATGTAAATAATAATACAAGTTCTCTTTATATTTTTATCATAACAAGTTTCCAAATGAAGTAAATATAAATATTGCGTATTTATATCCAACAGTCTTAGGGTCGTATTCTAGAACTCTACTCAATGCTCAAGTCAGGATTGCACTGGAAATACGACCCTAATGGCAGGAACTTGAGTATGATTTCGAGTGCTTTAAACCATAGGTACTCAAATCTTGACTTGAGCATTGAGTAGAGTTCTAGAATACGACCCTTAGGGCCGTATTTTCGAAATCATACTCAAGTCCCTGCCATTAGGGTCGTATTTCCAGTGCTTGAAATCATACTCAGATCCTGACTTGAGTATTGAGTAGAGTTCTAGAATACGACCCATAATCAAGTTAAATAAATAAATAACGCGCACACACTCGTCGCTCATAACCTCAGGTGCCCTGGACATCCACATAGACAACCACAAATTACACTCGAACTCACAAGATAAATAAATGTAGACCATACAAATATTTCTCCCGGCCCTGGAATCGAACCCAGGATCTCTTTGTGGCAGTACAGCTTGATAACCGTTCGACCACGGAGGCAGTTAGTTAGTTGTTACTTATTTTTAGATATTGAAATATTTTTTTAATTATGTTTTAATTACTAATGTTAGAGTCATAATGTCCGTTACTTTTAACACTTCAAAAAATGTCTACAATCTTGAGCTTGGTTTGCATACTTCGACTACATTCATAATCCTGCATTACGCGGCGGACGGCCTGCAACGCAGGATAATGAATAGGGTCCCTTTATTATTGTTATTAGCACAAGGGCTGCCCGCACCTCGTGATTGCAGTCGATGTTATATTGACCATCGGCTGAATGTTGGTTACGCTTATGAAATAAATAGCCGAACTTGTTTCATTTGAATCATCATCGTCCCATTATTCATCTAACTACTGGGCACAGGGTCATTGGAATTGTTAATTTTAGAAAATTCCTACATATATACAATAAATTTAGCAGCATGTGAATAAAAAATACAAATAGGAGACTTATTTTAAAGTATTTCATTTGAATTTTATATATATAATCAAATCCGTCAGTCGTTATTAAAATGTCTATATCTAAAAATGTATTTAGAAACTAATAGACCAACTGTCAAAATAAAATAAAGAATACAAAAACGCCATTAGTAATCCTTAGAACTTTGTGATATTCACAATTGGCAAAATTTTACCTAAAGTCACAATCTATCAATATAACTGTCGACAACAACTACATGACTATTTAAAGTTTTACGAAAACTGACAACGCTGCCAATGTAACTTTACTCCAACTTCAAAAAAGACGACGATTGGGCTTGATGGATTTATTCCGATGCCGTAAAACTAATATTTAAAAAGTCTGTATTTGACAGAAGCGGTAAATCGTGTCCACAAATTAGAAAGATATTGTGATCGTTTTTCTTTTCGTTTTCATTTTGTGCAAGTTGCGCCAAAATTACGTAGATTATACTTTTAGAATTTTAATAAATCTAAGTCCTATTAACCGAAAGATATGAATGCACCTCCCACATTCGAGTCATTTTTACTTTATGATGGAGAAAAGAAGTAAGAATTTCATAACACGTACATTGCCCCTTTTATTTTTTAGGTTTTAGTTGTTTTTTATAGATTTTCTATCGTATTCACAGGGTACAAAAAGAAGAAGACACTAAAGTAACAAATGCTGCAATATTTACCGTCAATAAGGAAGATCATACTCTTGGGAATATGATCAGACAGTGTGTATCATTATTTGTTGACTATTGTGCAATGGTTATTATTTACTCATGTTTAAAAGCTTTGTTTTTGTTATAGTCAATTATTAAAGGACCCTAAAGTACTGTTTGCGGGTTACAAAGTACCTCATCCACTAGAGCACAAATTTGTGCTTCGTATTCAAACCACATCAGATTACACGCCGCAGGAAGCTTTCATGAATGCTATTACCGATTTAACATCTGAGCTGTCGCTTTTTGAGGAAAGATTCAAAGTAAGTAAATAATGTTTATTTAAAAACAATGTATGAATGTTTTTTGTTGTACAGATGCTGCATATCAAGCAATTTTTTTTATAATATCAACTAACAGGACGAACAAGTCATGTGACTGATGTTAAGCTACATGCTTGTCCATAACAGTTACAGTGCCACTCAAGAGCTTGAAATCGCAAAGATTTGAGGGGCACTGATACTGCGCCTATCACTCTGAGACAAGTTGACAAGTCCCATATGCCTGTAATTTCACCAGCACCCTTACCCTTCAAAACTGGAACGCAGTAATGTTCCCATTACTGCTTGGCGGCAGAAATAGGTAAGGTGGCAGTAATTCCCTGGACAAACTTTCACTAGGAGCTCTACTGCTGCTAAAGCTAAACTTCACATACAGACTAAATCTTGTTCTGTTTCACTGGTGGCAATATTGGGACATGTATACCTTGATGTGCTAAACAATAAAGTCATTTAGTTCTTTAATTAAATACATACAGTGCTAAAGGGGATAATATCATATTAGGTTTAGATGTCTCTGTTACAACATAGTTGTAATGACCAAGAAATTAACCTATGGTTGTACTATTTTAATTGTAAATTAAGGAATCAATGCAATAAATAAGAACAATAGAATTCACTCCAGAGCAATAGTGTTCTTGATAGCTAGAACATTTTACAACAGTCAATTTCCCAAAATGATCGGGAATTTAACTTGAGAGCTCCTTATTTTTTGCCCTAAGTACAAACTACTACATAGGGCCAACAAGGTTCTAAAAATGTTTGAAATGTTTAATTTTGTTTCAGGAAGCTATAAAAGAAAAGAAAGATGGGTTGGACTAATTTAACACCACACAAATAAATGTTTCATGACAATGTTACTGTTTCAGTGACCTAAATGACATTCTGTTCTCTGTATCTTTTCATATTTTGCTGTAAAATACCTATTTTTATTATTATGTACCTACATACTATTAAAATCTTTAATTCCATATTTTTTTATGGTATATGGTATAACATTATAGATTTTTGAGTTCCTGGAAAAAATATACAGTTACCCCAGACAGGTAAATGGATATCAATCTTATTGATAACTTCCACTAGGCATTGGCACATGCACATGGTGCTCTGCATTCAATCTTAATTTGACAGAATGTTTCAAAAACTTAAATTGGATGCAAATGAAACAACACACACCGAAGTCCTGGCTTTATAGGCTAGTATATTATACAAATAAGAATAAAAGTATTAAGAATAATATATGCTGTTTATTTACTTATTACAAACACTTTAATATTGTATTAAATTTACTGTATTCATATTAAAACAGTATGGTATAATATAATCATGATTGTAGTGTGATGGAAATTGTTTATATTGTGCTACTATAATAAATTCTCATGATGCATTATAACCAGATAATGCATATGAAAACAATTACAACCGTCCACCTCTGATTATTGTTAAAATATCATGCAAAAAATTGCTTAAACATAAAAGATCAAAAATCTTATGTACAAACATCTGCTTATTCTTAGGAAACAACCTATACCACTGGCATGGTACGTAATAAATAATAGTCCACTAAAATAATAATTAATAACAACAATGGTAACATTTAAACTAAATGTTCAATAAATAGGCATTAAAATGTTTCCTCTTCATCACAGTCTTCCGTCGCATGACCGAACACTGTAAACAATAGAAAAATGTATTTAAGTTACGTCATCAAAAAAATGTATGAGTACAATGAAGTCATTAGTCTATAATAGTAGTAATAAAAAAGCATTTATGTTCAAGTTTAAATAATTGTTTCTTAATATAAAGACTGAAATATATATGGTTTGGTACAAACTTAATCATTTGCTAGCTCACAAATACTAAGGGTCGTATTCCAGAACTCTACTCAATGCTCTACGCAATACTAAGAGTATCTATTATTTATTTATTAACCATTGGGTATAGAGCCATCAGGTTAAAAAGTTAACAAATAATTAAAAAACTCAAAACGTTATAATTAAATTTAAAATCCGAAGAGCCTTATCACACTGGCGATTTGGAAACGACGACAGCGCTGCGTGCGCGTAGGGCAACGCGGCGGTCGCTTGGCGAATTGCGAGCGATTTGAAAGCGTTGCACCGCGAGCAGGCCACGCTGTCGCATCGCTTTCAAATCGCCAGTGTGATAAGGCTCTTAGATTTTAAGGGTTTCCTCTGTTTCTCCAGTGAAGCCCAGCAGCTAGTTTCAGTACGCAATTAAATATACTATTTATATAAAATTTGTATAATGTATGACTGCGAAATTTAACAAAAACACTCAAGCTGAGTTAAGGGTTTCCGTAAAATTTATAAATATAATTAATTATTATTATTATTATAAAGCGTGCCTTCACAAATATCGCAATAGGGACGCGGCGGCGGCGGCGGCTTGCGGTTAGGGTTGGCGGGCGGCGCTGGTGCGTCGGCGTCAGCAGCTTGTCGCGGGCAGTCCTCCGTGTCATGCGCGTCAAATATATCGCAGATGTCACAGAAGAGGCGTGGCGCTACTGCGCGCACTTTACGCCCATTACTAAACGATAAAATCAACATTAATTTGTTTCTCTCAAAACTTGTCTGCCTGGCAGTTCCTGGGGAGTGGAGTCAATAACGTGATAAAAAAAGACAACGGCAGCGTTAATTGATTGTGAATTGAAAAAGATCCATAATAGACATCACAAAAACGTTATGAAGAAACAATTTGTGTAATTCAAGACAACTTACAACACAGGTGAATCACTGGTGACTGAGCCACTTTCGAGAGCTTGTACTCGCGCCATCAGCTGTTCATTCTTTCGTTGCATATCCACTATTACCGAATTAAGGAAATTTACTTGGCCATCCAGTTCCTTGTTGTCCACCCTGAAAAGAAGGCGAATATGCTTAATTTGTACTCCTTCTGAAAGCAGTCTTTCCAACTAAGCCAGTTCACACGAATAATAGAATTATTAGTCAATATCTGACATGTCAATATTGTCTAAGAAATTATAATTTATATACATTTATCACAATATGTATAAGTAATACACTTACATTTCTGGTGCAGTATCGCCTTGTCCTAAAACACCCATAGAATTGTTATCGTTTTTGTCTTTCAAATTTTTGTTCTTTTCAGCAAATTCCTTTTGCAACATCACCTTTTCCCTGTCTGCCAACTCCACCTTGGCTTTCTGTTTCTGAAATGTATTATAATTTTGATTTTTCGTACTTACACATAAATGTCTAGCAATTTTTACAACAGATTTTTAAATCTTATTTACCTTGACTTCTTCCTGTAGTTTACATATCAAATCGTCTTTTAGTTCCAAATCTTTGATTTTATGTTGGATATCAACCTTCAAATTGTTAATCATAGCTTCACTATTCGCTATCGCTTCAGCACTAGATTTCCTTGTAGCTTGCAGCTCCATAGTTAATTTTTCTAACACATTGTTATTCTCTAGGTTGGCACTTTGTTGGACAGTTATCAATTCTAATTTCTGCGCCAGTTCTACTAAATTATTTTCAGCTTCTGTAAGCTTTTGTTGTAGTTGACCCTGTTTTTCAATTTCTCCTTTGACTTTTTCTTTCGATTCCTTGAGTTCTTTCTGGTATTCTTCTAATTTAGCTTTGAGGTCGTGTTTACTGCGTTTACTATCCCTCTTATACTCATCGAATTGTGTCTGCAGTTGTTTATTTAAATCTTCGTAATTAGATTTCTGACCATCATTGATATCAGTCAGTTGCTTAATATCACGCTCAGATTTAGCCAACAGTTCTTGTAATTCGACAACCTTATCTTTAGATTGTTGTAACTCGGTAAGTTGTTTCTCTTGCTCTGCGACACGGGTTCGCAAGGTTTTTATAGTATTGTTCAGGGATTCGACTTCATTTTTTAATTTTTCATGTAATTGCGTGTTTTCAGTTTGGAATTTTGCTATTAGTTGTTGGGCTTCTTGGGACCCCGACTGTAAAGAATTACTTAAAGTCATTAACTGAGATTCCTTCTCTTTTATTGCGCTGTCTTTGTTCGAAATTTCTTGTTTCAGTTGAGCAATTTCTCGTTCGAGATGTTTTGTTTTATTGGATTCAACCTGAGTCTTTTCATTTAGACTTTGCAATAAATTATCCTTTTCTGTTAAAGCCTTCTGTAGACTTTGATTGGTAGTTATGGTTTCTTTTACTTTTTCATCGGCAGATTTATATTTTTCTGCCCACATTTGTAGTTCGGAGGTCACTTCAGCAAGTTTTGTATCCAATGTGCTTTTATCTTGGGTCAAAACCGTCAAATCTACTTTCAGACTTTCTAGCTGACGCAGTTGTTCTTTAAGAACAGATTCTTCTGCGAAAGAATTGGCTATGAGACTTTCGTACTGCTGTTTAAGTGTTGTGGTTTCTAAAGTAGCCTTGTTTAATTTTTCTTCCAACTCCTGTTTACTTTCTACAGTTTTATTCAGTTCTTTATTAACCTGTGACAGTTGTCGGTCTTTTTCTTTAACTATTTCTAGATTAGATTTCAAGTCCACTTCTAACATTTCTAGTTTCAATGTCAAATCTTTTATATTATTGTGCTTTTCTTGCAACATTTCTTTTAGTTTGAACTCTTCCGTTTTGTGATAATTCGATTCTTCGCGGGTTGCAATTAACTGGCTTTGTAACTCAGAAATATCATTTTCGTACTGACTTTTTCGGTTATTCATTTGTGATGTAGTATCATCCAATACCTTTTGCAAGGAGTCTTCGTGTTTTCTAGCCTCCTCTAATTTATTATTTAAGTCATTTTGCGCCTCAGTCAGTTGATCTACTTTTTCCATCAACTTTACTTCTGATGTAGCTCCTTCCGCTTTCAAAATGCCAATCTCCTCTTTATATCTTTGAATATTTACTTCGAGCTTCTTCCGTTTAGACTCATACTCTGTGTTTAATTCTTGCTCTTTTAATTTTAGTGTTTCAATTTCCTTCTTCAAAGTTGAGTTTTCGTCTAGTAATTTGTCGTTATTGTTCCCTAATTCTTTCCATTTTTTCTGTAATTCGGCAGAGTGTGTTTCTAATTCTTTAATTCTGCTATCAGCTACAGTTAATTTTTCAATATTTTGATCAACAGACTGCACTAACTGACCACGTTCTTCGGCAAAGTCTTCTTGTAATTTAAAAAGCTTTTGTTTCAATTCTTGTTCAATTCGTCCGTGATTATTGACAGCTTCTCTGTGCTTATCTTTTAATTTTTGAAGTTCCTTTTCAGTGTCTTTTAAATGTTGTGATAGTTGATTAAACTGTTCGTTTGAATCAGTGGCTTGACCCGTGATGTGCATGTATTCTGACTCAATTTTTTCTTTAGCCTTTTGTAACTCATCACATTTTTCTGTAGTGCTGTTCAAGTGCCGTTTCAGTTCACCGAAATCTAGTTCCATCGAAGCTATTTTAGATTTAAGATCATTAATTGTTTGTGTTAATTCGTTTATTGCCTGTTTCAGTCGTCCATTTTCTTCATTTAGTGCTTTAAGTTCATCTACATTTACAAGCAGTTGAGAATTGAGTGTATCAAATTCTATTTTACTCTGGTCTAGTGCCTGCTTGTGAGTCTCTATTTCTTTCATAAGTTGCTCAATTTTTGTATTACGGTCTTCTATTTCCTTTTTATGTTCTTCTGCAATTTTACTGTGTTTAATATTGAAATTGGCCGTCACTTGTTCGAATTCATCTTTTAATTTTATTATTTCCTTATCCCTTTCGTGTATCGTTTGTTTGTATTCAGTGACGAGTTTTTCTGTGGAACTCGATGATGAGCTGGAGTCTGTCAACAGCTTTTCGTATTCTTTAGTCTTTGCTAGAAGATTCTGTTGCAATTCCATAATTTCCGTTTTACTCTTTTCGTTTTGCTGTGACATTTCATTTAATAAGCTTTCATATTCATTGATTTTACTTGAAGATTCCTCTTTAACTTTAGCTACTTCTTCTAGTAAATTTCTGAAAGCTGTTTCTTGTTTTATCTTTGTATCTTCTAGTTGTTCTAAATCTAGAACTTTGGCGCTCAATTCCATTTTAAGTTTTGTGATTTCTTTGTTTAAATTAAGTTCATGTTCTTTACTCGAGCCCAACACTGTAAATAAATTAAAAATGTGACAGTATGTTGGTAGTTCGATGCTTGATATTGTACTCAAACGCTTATTATTTTGTTAAACACTTACCCTTATTCAACTCGAGCGTCTTGTCGTCGACCGCAGCTTGCATTTGCGCTAACTTGCCATTCAAGTCACTAATAGTTTGGCTGTTCTCTTTATTCAATCGCTCAAGGTTTTGTTTCTCTGTTTCCAGCTTAGATTCAGCTAGTTGCAACTTAGCGGTTATAACAGAAATTTGAGTTTCAAACTCAGTTTGTGCGATTGCTATTTTAGTCTTTGCTTCATTCAGCGCCTTATCAGATTCCATCTTGACCTTTGACAATTCGTCAGACATGCTTTTGCCCAATGAATCTTTCTCACATTCTTTTTCTTTGAGGAGAGCGTACGCTTCGTCTAAGAGTTTCTGTAGTTCTGATGAAAGGGCTGTAAACAAATACAAACCTATGCTGTAAAAATCATATCATTGAAATTTAAGCTTTTGATAAAAGAGCTACGAATAAGTATACTTAGTCAAATCCTATTGGTAATGAATAAATAAATAAAATTAATAATGGCCTGGTTACTCACTGTGAGCTGCTGTTAGTTCCTCTTTATGCTGTTCGGCTAACGCAGCAGTCTCAGCGGCACGCTGGTCTTCCAGAGCTCGCAGTTGCGCCGCCGTGGCCTCGGCCCGCGCTGACTGCAGCACCGCCTCTGCTTCCAGCTCGCGGATACGTTGCTCGCGTGTTGTTTTCTCTTGCTGGCATTTAGAAAGTATTTTCATTTAACTTAGAAAGAAATTTCACAGACCAGGCTAAATATCAGCGATGGGATACTTATTTGGCGCGTAGGTATACGAAAGTACGTAACTCATTTTTACTAGAAAAGAAGGTGGATAATTAATTACCTAAGTAAATATCTTAATTACCTATAAAGTAATCTACCCATAAACAACGTCAACGTCATAAACAAAGCAAATATTGACACCAAGTTATTTTTATCTTTAAAAAATGTGCATTACGGTAATTATGCTTAACAATAAAACTGAAACTAAATAAGATTGTGGCCAAGCGTGTGTCTATTATATATTAAAAAAAAAATAAGATATAAAAAAACCGATGAGAGGCGGTAGCCGATATCGTTTCGCTCATTCCAGATAATGTTAATAACTCGAGTTCGCTAAAAATGCCGATTACGTTGTTTATGATGAGGATGGTAGTAATTAGGTTCTATAAATTGCACAAGTAATGTCAGTATATACTAATTTTGATTCGATGTACATAGGTTCTAATAGTGAATGGAAACGTACCTCCATAGCTTCTTTGTATTTCTGAAAAATGAAAAATTTAATTATAACTCTTTATACTTTTAAAATAAAATAATCTGAAAAAAAAAAAAATCTGGTATGAAATAATTCAATATACAGATGATTATAATAAGCGTAAGTTGATGACTTTTGGGTACAGCCTGTTGTAGTCAATATAGTTTTCTCCTCAGAGTTTAGTGTCTAACTTCGATCAAATAAACACGGTTATTTGTAAAATGCTAAGAACCCCGCAGGACTACATTACTAAATTCATAAACAACAACTTTTGTTCCATGATTTTTAATAAGTAATTCACCAAATTTTATTTTAGTACAAAAAAAAAATAATTAGGTTGCTCTATATGGTGATAACTCTAGGCGGTAATAAAAGAAAGCGCTAGCGTAAATACCAGTCCGGTACAAAACGCAAAAGGTTGTGTTTTATCAGAGACGACGCTTTCTCGTTTGAATTTATTACCTTACTACCAAATATAGACCTCAAAAAGTGTCAAAACAGCAAAAAAGTGTGACAAAATGTTTTATTGGGAAATGTATTGTTTTGTAAAAAGACATGGAACAAAAGTTGTTGATTAAGATTTTAATAATGTAGTCCTGGGACGTACAAACAACCCTGCATAACTATGTTCGAAAGTCATAAACTTCATAATTCAATGTTATACTAATAGATGGCGTATCGGGATTGAGCATCATTTTAATAAATGGTATGGTAAAACTTAATAGTATGGGAAAAAATAAAAGGGACATGTTTACCTTATGTATGTAATAAGAAAACAAACACGGCTGCCGTTTTTCCCATAATCTGATTAATTTTGGCAAGCGAGATTGGTAATTTTCTTGGTTATACTATGCAAAAATGTTTTTGCTTGCACGTTATGTATGTTATTTACATCAATACTTGTTAATTTACTTGTTCGTTGTAAGTGGGAAACACGAAGTATTTACGTAGAAAATTTTACTCACATTATAATCCTCCTTGTTGATGTTCTCCTCCTCGCTACGGAACATGAGGTCCTCGACCTTCTGTCGTTCATCTTCCAGCTGCTTGTTTAGCTTGTCTAGTTCCGCCTTCAGCTTTTCGTTTTCAATGTTCGCCTGGTGTACAAATGGATGTAAATTAACAAACACATTAATCGACTGTGAGAATTGGTTCGTAGTGTTTGATACAATTCTGAATATACTGACGTAGCCTTGCAACTAGCTTATTAAGTAAATTATACCGCAATATAAACAAAAAAAATTGTCTAATAACCCAATTACAAGCATATGGGACTTGTCAACTTATGTCTCAGGGTGTCGGGCGCAGTGGCAGTGCCCCTTAAGTCTTTGCGATTTACAACTCTGCCCCCGTAGCAGGGCTACGCATGATAGTCGCGACGCACGCGATAAAATTGTAATAAGCGCGCGCCATTGGCTGTCTCAATCAGAGACATGCGCTAGGCGTGTCACTTACATTGCTGGCGCACGACTTGCTCGTCTCGTCACTTGGTATATTAAAAAAGAAGCACAAGAAGAAGTTACATTTGGTCCATCTGTGAGAATTCAGTATGAAAGTTGAAAAGGATCAAACGTATGACTTTAATCACAGTAATACGGTAATTACATTATTTCTTATCGATAATTAAATAATGACAACAGACCTGTGAGGCTTCCTTCTTTAGTTGCGCAAGCGCGCTCTCAGCACGATCAGCTTGTAGTGACGCTTTGGCGACCTCTGTGCGTTCCAATTCGCGCTCGCGCATCAGTCGTTCCAGGTGGTGCTGCTTCTCTCGTAGCAACTCCTGGAACCATTGCCAATATGTAAACCCCAAATCAACAGTAATCAGTTAACCTTTAACATTGATTATTTATTAATTGTCGTACATATGTTCCACAATATGAATTAAGTATTAGATTCTAAATTATTCAATTATTGTAATTACTTCTATGGTATAGTTATAACCTCGTATACATACATACGTTGGCTAAATTTGTAAACCTCGTAACTTCCATTAATGTGAACTTTTGAGTATGCACAAAAAACAGAATTATCTACTAGAAATAATTGTCGTATAATCTATTTTTATACCTTTATTTTATAACTAAAAGGAGTTTACAATTTCTTTTTGTTTTTATATTTTTTATTTTAATTGCCCGATATTGCGCTTGAATAATAAAAAAGGGATTTCGTATAAAAACGAAGTCACGAGGTTTTCAAATTTAGCCTTACATTATACAAATGATTAGATGCATAAAGCGATATTGTACAAAACATTGGCTCCCTGTAAATAAACAAAAAAGAAGTTGGTGAGGCGGTCCTTCTCACGTAGCTTCTCGAACTCAGCGCTGTCTTACTTGGTGATTCTCTATGGAGAGTCCACCTGGAGACATATACCTTCCGGTCATCAGGATATTCGTAGCTGACACAATGAGGTCCACGACACTGACGTCAGCAGGTTACTGTTGCAGGGAATTGCTTCCATCGGACATAGCAGGCTGGCGAATTCGCTTACTCATGATTACATCCTCATATGCAGTTCATCAGCTCCAGCGTGCGATAATATAATAACATTTTGTTGTTGCATAGCAATTTTTGCGATTTAAAGATCTGAGAGAGAGAGATCAAGTGTACACGGCACTGACCAACTATTTGCTTTGCTGCAACACACACAAGCTGTTGTCATTAGGTTAGGATTTTGTTTTTTTTAAATGTATTTATTTTATATTATATTATAGTATATATTTTTAATTTAACTTCAAAATTTAAAAAAAGTTTGTTTTTATTCACTATTCTTTTAATTAAGACAATAAACGTTTTATGTAACTAACTACACGAAAATGGCAGTCCTCCTCATTCCTAAATCAAATAAGATGGATCTTAGGATCAGGCGCACTGCGACAGAATTTGGGTAGATACGGTTTGTATTTGTAAGAGCAATGTAACATCACTAGATAGAGTCCGTAAGACACCGACGACGACACTGTAACCACGAGGAATAAAACGACTTATAACTATACACTTAAGGCATGTTACAAAATGTATTGTTCTGGAAAAACACTACATTAAGTTTCAACATCCGACAACATATATCGATTTTCGATTAACAATAAAGGATAAACTGGGATCTTTTGACTATTTACAATATAAAAATAAACTTAATTGTTTACAGTTTATATTCACCAAGCATATCATAAACATTTACAAGCGATGTAAAGGCGGACGCTGAGCATTGCGAAACGCAGGAAAACTAATGTCCATAACAGGTCCCAGATTCTAAAAACACGTATCTGCAAATTTAAGAAGTGTTATAAACGACGCAATGTTTTGTACGCGACTAAAACTCTTTTTATTGGATCATTTTACAGTGTAGAGATTATTGCTGTTCATGTGTTTATATTAGTGACGATCAAATAAACCTTGCTAGTATTTTAAATTGTAATATTTTAACGTTGATAAAGTGAAATAAATCAATTTCTCATACATAATATCAATTCGATGACCAAAAGCGTATGGAATTGATGTCCTTTGACCTTAATTTTAAATATATTTATAGATTTGTACTAAAGAGAGTTTGAACAGGTGGTGGAGTTTCACCTAAAATAGGTATAATATTCGTGCCAGCATTAGATCATACTGCTAAATAAACCTCAATATACTAGGCTAAGGAGATTTTCGTTAATTAGAAATAGGTAGATTTACGTCACGTACACTAAATAAAAGTGAATCAAGTACAATAAGTATTTGGTGCAATAATTAGCATACGTTTAAAATATCACCATAACTGTGACGTGACGTAAATATCAGCACTACTGCACAGCTGCAGACGTGCTCTTATTAATCTTCTGCAAAACCTCAATCCAGTTAGGAAACGACCTGTAGTCACTTAAGAGATTAGGCTAAAAACATTACTAGACCAATTTCTGAGTTAGAATTTGTAGTCTTTGGAGGTAGAGGTATAGGTTTCTTTTTTAATTTTTATGTCGTATTGTAGGATCAGCGACGAAATAGAAGTTCGGTTGTTTCAAAAGTTAACAATAGCTCTAAAGGAAATGTAAATTACCAACTTCAAACTGGTCAGACGTACCAACCTAGTGGAGATTTAAGTAGGCCACTCTATACGGATAGGGTAATGTACTGAGAAATAAAGTTCTTCCCAAGAAATAGCACATCTTTTAAAGACATCTTTCCAAATAAAGAAGATAAAGGGAGCAATAACATTATTCATTTTTATGTACTAACGTTATGCGTATTAAGCGTTATGTAATAACGCTCTACTTTTGACACTGTAATACAAGACAAGCATTGTCATACTTTTGTACTATTTCCTCGGGTCATGTAGTTGTTATCAACTTAATTAGGAATGATATTTGAAATGTAATTTAATGACAACAATATTTATTATTAATGAATTGTTAATTTTATAATTATTGTGTATTTTTCGTTGTTGTTTGACGATGAGATCTGACGATATAATTTCTTATATTTTGATTTATAAGTAGTGCAATTTATACTGTATATTATATTTGAGAAATAAGTGAATCTGAATCTTCAGCCTCGCGCCCGAAAATCAGTTTTCAGGCGTAGTTAGACACTTCGTGTTTATATAATTTTCTTCTTTTATTATTGTTCTATTCAGTTTATTATTATTATTATTATTATTCGGTACCTAAACTTCTGTGCGACAAGTGGACTGTCGATTATGAACGTTAACGTTGCCATTTTGAGGATTTACGTAGCTAAGAGCTTTAGGCTCAATTTATATTGCGGCGGAAAGAAGTGGAAGCAAATTTTTCTGACGATATTGTACATAGCATAATGAACTTTATGGTCAATTGTTTAACGTACAAACTAGATACGAGCCAAAATCTTCCGCGAAATGCTCGAGCAGTCTCGAGCATGCGCGAGAATTCCGCGGAAGATTTTGCCTCGTATCTAGTTTGTGCAGTATCCTACACAATCGATCATAAAGTTCATTATGCTATGTACGAAAATTCTTACAAAAATTATCTTCCATTCCGTTCCGCCGCGATATAAATTGAGCCTAATAGATGTTTGTATATTTTAGAATTTGATCGAGATGTAACTATTACTGTATGCTGAATTTATTGTAAGATCGTTTCAGACTTTAAAATATTCGTAAAAAAACTATGTGACTATAGGTTAGTGTTATATAGGTACTTTGGTTCTTATGACACGATATTATCACGTATTGTGTAAGTACTTATAATTTTTTTTTATAACATCAAGTCACGGGACGAACAACAAATTGCCTGTAAAAGTTTTTTTCAACTTTTACCAGTAATTTTAACAGCAAGCAAGATAATGATCAACCGGAAGATATCTACATAATTATAACAAAATATCGTGATTTTGTAATTAGGAAGCGCAAACCGGTTCGTGTTTTATTGCTTATTAATTTGAGAGATAAGTGTTGCACGCGCTTGCTAATCGTGCAATATGTCGTGCGTGAAAGTCGTTAGTTTCTACCTTATTAGAGTTAGCTGGACGTAAGGCCTGAAAGCAGCATATACATAGTAGGCCTGTTTGTATTAGGAATAAGCACAAATTCGCTAAAAATTACGGTACGTTACCAAACAAATTTTTACGTCGATGAATAAGATTTTATCGTAGTACTATCTACAGTTCTGCATGGGTGGGGTCGAGTGTGGAATCAAAAGCCGCAAAAAACTATGAGGTCTTTTTAACGATGCCTACAGTCAGTCCACCCTAGGAAGTTAATTGGTCAAGATACGATTTACAATGTCTTAACAATCATTAATATATGTATAAAAAAACTACAGATTACTTTGTAAACACCTTAAAAATTATGATGAATTTGATTCTTTATCATATGATATTAATATATATTTTACTCAATACCATTTCAGTAATATATTTTTGGTTAATGATGATTACCTATACAAATTACCTACTAAAATATTACATAATGTTTCTTCTGTTAAAATACATAAACATATTGTGTGGATATAGTTCGCATTACAACGAACCTTAGCGGTGTAAAATTCGACTAAAAACAGTGGTGTGTATTATGCCTTATATGATAAATAAATAAAATAAAAAAGCATAATATGGACACGATCGATATCTAGACAAACTTCCACACAAAAACCTTAAACATGTCCCACTTGCACTGAACATAAGTACCTATGTCTTAAATTAATACAAAAGACACTCTTAATAGATTGTGTTAAGCACATTTTTTAATATAACATAATTTATGGTTTGTAATGTAAAGTATAGTATCAACTTAAGTATTGCAAATGGACAACAATATTTTTCATTTTTTATACTTGGGACTTTGGAACTTGGCCGTAGTTGTCGTAAGTAGAATAAAGTTGAATTGAATAAATAAAACCCTTTGTGGATTTGATTGTGTATAGTAGTCAGCTACCTATAGATAGCGCCATTTTGCTCGACCTCGTTTCAGCGTTCAGCATAGGGACATTACTTATTCACAAGGCCAGCCATATTTATCACATGTCAAAGCGAAATCTTTGCATGCATAGTTATTTGAAAAACAACACATTTCAATTGCGCAATCAAGATTTCAATTTTAAATTAACCTATAGGTATAGTTACAACAGGGTATGCTGACGCAAAATCGTGAATTAAAAAAAAAGGAAGGAAGACAAAGAAGTTACAGAACAAAGGTATTACTCGGTGGGTGAAATAAAAAACAGAAGGCTGCTTTTATGCGGCGCTTCTACAGACGGAGGATGGATTAGGTTATCAATATTACTATATGACTATGTTAGTAACACCTACTCGTGTTTATAATGGCTTCAGATAGCGTATTCTCTACTGGGCCGTTTCAAAGCTATAAGGTGTTTTACTGTCCCCACTGGAATAAAGTTATTCCAGCAGCACTATTCCTCGATCCCGAGTATCAAAGCACAACAAATCATGTATGTATGAGTTCCGAAACTAAACAGTTATAACCGTAAGATAATATTTTTACAGATACATGGGACTTTTCAACTTACTTTTAAAGCTTATTTCAGCGTGGATAACAAAACGAACACCCATATACTTTTGAAAGGGCCGCGGGCGAACAGACTAAATCTTGTTTTTTGCGACTAGAACAGACTAAATGGTAACTTTTTACCTGATTAGCCAAATATCAAAAACTTGAGCATGGTCACGCTAGGATAAGGGACGTTGTAGGGAATGTGAACAAGGATAATTGCAATATGTGAATTTGGGCTTACTAATTTCTTGACGAGTTGGAAAATACAAGATGAAAAGTGGGTGATATAATTGGAAACACGACATGTTTTTAATACACTGTGAATGTTTAGTTTGAGTTTGTTGTTGAATTTCATATTGGAACTGTTGTTTACAACATTTCGCACCCCTTATGGAAGAATGGCATAAATCAAAAACGTTTATTGCTCCATTAGTAGTTATATTTTTCTGTAGGAGCATTAAACATGTTTCAAGTAACTCCACTTATGCCATTCTTCCATGAGGTGTGCGATTTTGTGACAATTTGAATGTTTATTACGTTGTACCTACTACACACCACAGTTTAGTTTATATGTGCTGAAAATTTTTAAATGTACACCATATCTACCGCATGATTGCATTAAATGACTTCTATTATTCAATGTGTATTGGATATAAAATAATGATGTAAAAGAAAAATGTAAAATAAGGACTTCACAATTTCTTTTTTAATATTTTTTTTTAAAACAAATGACGAATTTGTTCCAGTATAATGCTTTGAAAAATGGCAACTGTAGCCACCTACTATTAAAACCCGTTAAAAGGATTGCACTAGGTAGGTTAGATTTAAGAACCACTGTTCCGTTTTGTTTTGGCTAATAAATGAAAAACAAAAGGATAAATTGCTGGAAATTGTGATTAATTACTATTTTGAACACGTTGGTCGTGTGCATACATATACCTTCTGCGATATTTTTGTACATTTCAAATTAGTATAATAAAACAACTCGACAGTTAATGTGATAACTTTATTTATCTAAATTAATTAGATGGGTAAAGGACAAGGTAGAATAAATACACAACACTTACAATACATTTTATTACAACTGATAATTATTCAGTTTATTAATTTAATTATCGTTCACATTTAAATTAAAATTAATTAACAATATATTAGTCATTAACATTAACATCTAAATACTATAATTAGGAATGTTAATACTAGTTACAGTTGGAATTATTAAAAAGTGAATATCTATCTAAATCTAAAAAGAGGGAATGATTGCAGAGTGAGTCTTAACAATTATGAATATTATCTTTTCAACTTACAGGCACTGGTCAAAAGTTAATTTAAAAAATATTAATAAAAATATTAAATAATGTATTAAAAGTAAACAGTAAAAAGTTTGTTAAAAAAAGGTTTCAAAATAAATAAGAGTAAAACCAAATATTCTATCACAGTTTTTGTTTCTGAAAATAAATTTCAAAACAACAATGAAATACATTGCTACGTTGAATTTAACTTGTACAACAGTATATTGTGGAACATACGTATAAAAATATAGTTCTTTGTACTTCGTGTGCGTAATTGACGTATTGTCTATTATACTATTGTCTGCGAATTGACAAATAAAATTAAACAATGCTTTGTTAAGGTTTAGTTTGTAAGTAATACAATTTTATTAAAAAAAAACATGTCTTTGTAAACTTTACAATCGTTGTTCGTCATTAGTATCAAAACAAATCGGACTTAATTATTAATGGGCCCACCATCTGATTTTCGATGTTGTTGAGCGATGTTTTTCACTCTACATCATATTATAACATCGTAATTGTTTTGAATTACACACCAGTGTAGAGCCCGTGAGATGCTATAGCAGTCGGTAGCAGTTAAAAAGTGCAAGCCCCATTTATCACCGAGCAATAGTTCCATCGCACTAACACTAAACGTGTGTTAAACTTCAAAAATAACGCTTACAACGCTTTAGTAGAAAGCGCAGCGTTTCATTACACATATAACATTTGAAATGTCAATTTAGATACGTCCAATTTATTATTTATTTCATAATAAATTGAGTTGCAAGTTAACAGTGGCATTGATATGTTCAAGTAATTTTTAATTTTTGTCATTTTACAAATATACCAAGTCACAATATTCACTAGTAAATAGACAATAACAAAGTTCAACAGCTCAATGTGTACAGTGTTCAAAATACATTTTTGACGCATAACACACGATTGTGAGTTGCGAGAGGGTTCTACCGCGCGGCGATGGTGGGGTACTGTACCTGTAACGCGTTCTTCGCCGAGACGGGCGTGGACGAGGCTCGCGGACCACCCATGCGCTGCCGCCGTGCCGTTAGTGACAGTGCGAATGCGACAAACATGGGAAAAACAACACGCGTTAACGCACTCACTCGTTACTTGATGTACAATAGATGCTTTCTAAGTTAGGCGCTATGCAAACGCTGGTCTTTTGCTAGATACAAGCAACCGGCAAGGCAACTTACAGGCCTGCCGCTTAACTGAGTCGGTTCCTGAGGTAGTTGTCAGGTGCGAGAGGAGTGACAGTTTAGGTAACAGTTATGTCGCGCTGCACACGGAATAATCAACAATAAGATTTTTCTAACGATATTCAATAGCAAGTACATTGAAAAAACTACCATAGGGCTTTTTTCAATCAAGTATTGAATATAGTCTTCAGCCTGGTTTATAGGACACGAAGACGTCTCCCATACACCCAGCTGATGACCGAGAGCCGAGTTTACGACAACTAACTTGAAAGTTTCGGGACAATAAAATTTGAATAACCTAAATAAAAGTGACAACTTCGAAAGCATCTATGATTTATGTTTTTCCGTCTGCAAATTATGTACCCCAACATGATACATGTTGGAATAGACAATTCGAAATGTACATCAAGTAGTGGTTTATATACATTGCATTTCCAATATTTTGCTTGGAAATACATTGCGAAGTCCGACAAGGGATGTATGGTATACATTCTTCGTTGGACATATCAGTCAGCAAAATAAAACAAGCTCTATATAAACTCAAACTAAAGTGTCTTAGATATGATTGTGCCAATGATAACACGGAAATGAAACTATACATACTCGTAATTATAAATAAAACCTAAAAATGTGTATTTTTATGAACTATAAATGCAATAGATAATTAAATATCATATAAAATGGAAACAAAGTACTAAAAAGTACAGAAAAAAAAAGAGTTACACTCTAGATATATAAAATTTTATAACGTGCTTAGAATTTGTATGGAGCTTTAGACTAGATATTGTACTTCCGTACGCTAGCAACACCATGCCCGTATAAATAATTACAAAGGCACATAAATTGTGTTAGTAGGCTCGACGGGAATAATAATGGGTTGTTTAACACGCATTATACACACACGGTTGAATAAATATCCTAAAAATAATATCACAGTTGAAAAAATGAGATACTCTACGATATGATCGTTGCAGTCTCTTGAAAACTAGGTATATGGAACTAAAATGGATAAGCATCCTAAAAGCGGTCCTAATATCGATACTTTAGTGAACAAAAAGCTCTGATTCAAACTACAAGGTACGCAAAACATTTTTATAATTGTTTTGCTATCTAAATTTTATAGCGATTTTTGCTAATTTTTATAGTGATTTTTAATAAAAAATGTTATTTGTTGACGCAAAATTTTTCTTCGTTTAAACAGATCGAGAGCCTGGGGTAAAGTATCAACTTTACCCCAACTACATCAATAAGTTAATTTTGATAAAACTGGCTTACACGCCGTTTCTTCCCTGAAGTATCGATACATGGACCACAACTTATAAGTTTATGATTCACTTAGAATATAATTAATAGCCTCTATGACCAAGTGAATCGAAAACTAAAATTAATAAACATAATTACATAAACACAAGGGCCAAACCAAGGGGTGCCAGCTACAGATCAAAACAATCAAACTTATGCTCATGCAACGAAAAGCCTCTACATGAATACCATCACGATTGCGATCTCCCTGCCCTTTCCCAAACTTTAATATCTCTCAACAACATGATTTCAGCTGATATGAAACGCAAATCACCAAGTACACTTTTAAGGGACGGATAGTTATTCACAAATTGAGATTGATTTTATCGGTAATATTGAGATTTATTTTCGAATTGCTATCTAATAGTTTCGTACGGACTACGTACACAATATAATACGAGTCAGACGATCGGCACATCATAAATCACAGCTGATAGGAACGTTTGCATTTATATGTACACGACGTAGGGGTAGGTGAACTGGAAGGGAGAGACGCAAGAGTAATGGTAGCTTTTCCCGAAGCCCGTAAAGTGAGTGCGCGACGGCGGCATCTCCATGTAAATGTCGGTAGCTGCGGCGCCCCCGCGGCTGGCCCTCGTCACCGCGGCCGGCCGGCCCGCCCACCGCACCACTTCGCCCCCGCCGCCCCCCGCGTTGCGGCTGCGGCCCGCGCTCGAGCCGCTGCTACCACTCGACAGACTGCGCCGCGATCGCTCCGACCGGCTAGTCTCAAAACTGAGCACGCTCTCGGAGCACCGCCACGACTTGGGCAGGGTTTCGCTCGCCCAGCGACGTGGGTTCAGTTCTTTGCTGGCTTTTGATTTGGAATTCGATCGAAATATGATATCGTAATAAACCCGCGGTTGCGGCAGAGCGATGATGGCGCAGCGGTCGTACTCGACGTGCTTGATGAGCAGCGTCTTGTCGAGCAGACTCGGCGCGGAGCAGTGCGAACGCGCACGGGGCGGCGGCGGGGTGTGCGGGGTGCGTGGAGTGCGCGGGGAGCGGGACTCGGCCGAACGCGCGCGGGGCTAGCCTACCTGCGCGCCCAGCGACGTCACCCCCAGCCTCACCCCCGCGCGTGACGACGCGATGGACGTGCCCAGCGACGTCAGTGATTCGCGCGAGTTCGATCGGCGCATCGGCGTCGCGCGCCCGTTGCTGTGAATGGCGCATGCGCCCGGCTTGCGGTTCGACGGCGACCGTGATACCTTTGCGATTGGGGCGAACAAACCGAACCTGGGAGCGCACTCGAAATACCTGAAAGTGTGTGTTAAGAAATTGTATAACATGTTGACTTTACGTTGTACATTATCAACAGGTACAATTTGCCTCAGACAAACCTCTTGCTGTCGACGGATCCATCATTCTTTCCCAGAGGGTCATCCAGCTCCACACCCGCCCATATGCCAGGTGCGAAGTCTGTGATGCCAACATACCGAAGTGTACCTGCTTTACTGCCACGACTGCTTGATACTATCACCCGATCTCCTAAACGGAGTTCCCCTGTGTTCGTGGTAGAGACCGAAGCATCTAAAAATTTAAATATTTAATTAACCATTTATGTCAGTATTTAAAAATCTCTACAAGCGTAATTTAATTATTGCGAAACACTTACTCATCTTACTACTAACGACACTGCGTACGCTACCATTGGGCGACAATGTACGGCGTTGTCTTGAAGCACCAGAAGGTGGACGTTCAAACACACTGCCAGCATCGGATGCAGGCGACGCATCGTGTGGGGCGTGGGTTACCAAGGGGATACGTGTCAGTCTTGTAAGGCGCGAGAACACACCGCGCTTCTCTGCACATTGGAAATATCGTGTACCTGCTACGGAACCATCATTTTTACCTGTAGATAAAAAAAAAGATTTAGGAGCATGGCTTTATTTGCGGTCAGTTAATGAACATATTTCTTTACAATTTAACACTTACCGATGGGTTCATCGAGTACGATTCCGGCCCAATCACCAGGAGCGAATTGTGTTTCCCCGATGTATGCGATCTGACCGGGCTTGGTGCCGCCAACCCACACACGCTCACCAATGATGAAACTATCGGTATCCTCGGTCAGGACCACACTGTGGTCTGCAAAGTCAATAAAGGAAAAATAGTATCAATATTTAACAATACAATGATAATATTACAATACATATGAACCCGGAAAATGCAATGTCGTTATAAGTTCACAAAAAAAAGACTGCGGTTCCTCTTGAATATGAATGTCATTATATATGAACAACACACCCCTATTTAGGCCCCGTTTATGATGCACACGTCTCAAATACCGTTCTATGCAAGTGCAACGGCCGGGACGCCATATACATTGCAGTTTGCATATCGTTGCATTGGAGTTTACAGACTTTCGCTCCATTTATATCCTCGAAGATTAACAACAAACTGCATTTGACTTTGAAGGACGGACGGTTTGCGATAAAAATTGTACAAATATAGCTTTAACCTTTTGAACCGTAAGTGAGCAAGTAGATAAAAGTCAACTTGCTAAATGTGTTACAGGCCTTTTTGGCACTAGCTCTCGAACTACTTTGCAAGTAAAGGGGTCACAAGGTTAAATTCTTCTGCGTCGATACGTGTATTAAAAACTAAATACCCATGCAAAAAAAAGGAAAATCGAGCACGTGTTTTGAGTTGCGATCTGAGGTGCATGACGTGAATTGAAACCATTTATAATATGAAAACAAAAAGTACTTGAAATTAAAATGATTTCACTATAAACGTAAACCATTTCACTTTGGTGGTTTGAAAAACCAAAATAAAAAAATAAGTAAAATATATTATTTTTGTTTTGTGCAAAGGTTTACGCGAAGATGCGGCACAAAGAACCCTTATAAAATATTCAAGAGTTGAGCTAGAAATTCTCAATTGTACAACTCAATACGAAATTCGTTTATTGTGTAATCATTTTAATTCAAGAGTGAGTGCTGTCTCACCTGATGACCTCCTCAGACCAGCCTCGCTAAGGCGGCGGGCGTGTTTCTCCCAAAGCGCGTCCATGGACGTCACGCTGTATGTGCTGCTGGCTGTACCACATAAGCGACACGAACACACACATTACTACACGCCACTACAACTGCAAACCTGCGCTTTACGACTTCTCACATGCCGTTACTACCACCATCAACGTCATATTACCACTATTATGTAGTGGCAGTTTCAATTCATTTGTTACATTTTTCAGGTAAACGCGACAGTGTTCGCAGACGTTGCGGCTCAAGCAAACAAACATAAGCATGCAGTGGGTGAACTTGGTATTCATGGCATTTTAAAAAGTGTTTCAACTAAATCACATGCGATTTTCTTAATACGATAATTTCATCTTTTGATAGGGAATTTGAATGATAAATACATTTTAAATTATGTTAACAGACATTTAGCAGTTCTTAATTAATTGTAATGCAATTCCAGACTACTGCATAAGTTTACAATATCACGTTTTTGCTACCATTTCACTTGTGGCGTGTAATTACAAAGCTTTGAGATAAACGGAACTAATTAAAACAATCGCCTCATAATAGACTCAGGACAATAACGTTAATTACGAAGGCAAGATTTCGGGCGTAGGCGCCTGTCGAACGCATGTAGACTGGATCAAGCGTTACACTTACAAACGCTTTATATTTTGCACTGTACATTTTGTTATGTTCCTCCTTCCGTAAGTCAACTTACAAGACTTTGCATTAGTTTTCTTCTTATTAAAATTTCCTATATTATTACCATTAGATATGGTTAGACATTGACATTTACTCATAATCTGTAATAACGTGTTATGGTTTAGTTTTTATTCTCTGTGTTTTTATCAAAGCGCTGGGTTTTAACCCATTTCTGCCCAAAATCGTGCGCATAACGGCAAATACGAAATTTGGTGTAATTTCCATACTTATTTCAAATTTCGATGTAAAAATCTTTTTTAGACGATAAAGCGGTAACTCCACACAATACCCACCTCGTAATCGTGTGGATTGTCACTACTAAGAATGCACAATACGATTCGAGTTTATGAAGATCGATTCAAGTGCATACGATCTAACGATTTTTTGTATCATTTTTATAAGATTCGATATAAAGGCAAATCGAATACTCTAGATCAGAAAGCAATAAACAGTTTTGTAGTAATATCATTAAATTTGAAAAAAACTCGATTCACAACAAATATTTAGTTGTAAATAGTTTTTGCCCTCAATTTCAGGCGTTAATGAGTTTTAACTCGATTTAAGCCCGGTGCCGGGTTGAAACCCGAGCGCTTGCCCATCTCTGATTACGATTAATATGTATACCTCAATAATTATTGAGATATACAAGTAATTACTTGTCGTTACTATTCAGCGTCAAATTATATATGAAATTTAGGAATCAGGTAAAGTGATTAAATGGATCCTCCACCACGTCTACATTCTGTTAGCAACGATTCCCACCATCCTATTTTACTTATGTAAATAGCGTGAACGTGTGAGTGATTCCTAGCAGCGATAACTCACTAGAAGCCTTGCGGTACGGTCGCGGTTTGTCCGGCAGACTGCTCGACACCTCGTCCTCCTCCGCCTCGATGAGGTCTACCACCAATACGGACAGAAGCGTGATATAGTGAACAGGTGATATCATGTACAGTTAGACACTATGGTAGATAGGTGAAGATTTCTGAACATGTGCGCGATAGTCATCTGGAGCATGTGTCATGCTGTGATCATGCATCAAAAACGTCAGTCATTCCTCATTCTTCACACAGCAAAATTATAAACATTAACTCACCTGACAAATGTTTTCTCGACAGTTCGTCGCTCAATTTTCTCACCGAGTCCGATGTGCTGCCGTCTACGACAACAAAAACATAGACACGTAAAGCAAAATTAACGTAAAAAACATGCTAACAAAAAATTTGTTGATGAGGAATTAACAATGTAATGTAACGTCGGCGTAATTTGCGTAATGAAACATACTACACATACTGCAACTAACGTCAATAATAAATAGGCAAATCCAGCAAAAAATTTATGTCGCATAATAGAACAGAGTTTGGAATGCAGTAAGGGCAAAGTTCGATAAAATCACACCTAATATGCGAGACACCCACTGAATGACAACAAGAGGCACAGCTGCGAGTAGGCCCGCGAAGCCTGTGGGTGATAATGTTTTAACTCGGATGGTGATTGTGAGAATTGGCTGTTAAATTCGCTCTAGTTCGTTAAACTTCGTTTTCTTAATGGCTTAATCAGAATGTTGGGCTGAATGATTTAGTATGATATTGTTACAGGCACAATGAGGAAATTCGGGCTTATATGAAACGTAGAGAATGTTTCTGGACATAATAATAGTTTAAAATAAGATCTTAATATAGAAAAAACATTATAGCTCTAGTGCGGGGTCTTAAAAAAAACAAAAACAAAAGTATTGCACCAAATTACTATAAGTATGATGAACATTATACTTGTCCATTATTGTACGTACCTACATCCATATAAATCATATGTATCATTATTTACTTAATTTATATTACGGTGAAGCGACCATAATGATAATTAAAGTAATATAAATTGTAATGAGCGAACGACCGACAATTTGAAATTTATAATTATAACACTGTCGTTTAGTGATTCGTTGAATCTGATCACATAGGTATGGAACGACACTCACGTCACAGAGTATAGACAGATTAAGATCAGAGCGGCAGTAGAGCCGGCCGATTGGTCCTGGCGTATGTCCGGCACTGATCGCTGATTAATCATCAGCGCACGACAACTGCGCAGGCTGGCGGCCTTGCGGCAGCGCGTGGGCACGCCAATCATAACTTAGGAGTAGACAAGAGGCTCATCTCGGGCCCTGCGACGCCCACTAGGCAGTGGACACTAGGAAGAAAGCCTTCCTAGACTTATTGTTAGCCTAGACGTAGCCTAGTCACTATTAGGAGATATTGAAATCGACGCTGTTAGATCCATGAATTTACTTGACTTAAAAGTGTCTGTTTATCTACTAGATACGTGATCAGATTTTACATTAAATAATACTGTGAAAGAAAAAAAAAACTATTTAAAAAAAAAGAGAGTACAGAAGTGTTACATTGGGCACCTGTGTTCATCTATAGACTAAAGAAAACGCACTTGCGTTGTATGCATGACTACGGCTATGCAATCACGCACTGATAATTACACTGTAAGATCTGATGCAGCTTTTCCGCGTAGGAGACTATTATTATTTAATTTAGCCGATCGCAATTATTCATTAACCAATAATAACAGCGTTGTTGTATTCACAAGTATAAATCTTGTTACGTGTCTTCTCCTAATGAAGGTAATAGGAACTTGTCGTGAGCTAAATAAATGCCACTGTTAATTCAAGGCGCAGACAACTTGGTGCACTGCAGGCGCCAATCAATTATGTAATGACGGGTGTCTAACAAGGTTCTGTAGCTACGAAAGCTAGAACAAAGTCTGGATTTAAATATACAATTCGTTACAACGTTTCTCAGGAATGTTAAAGACACTAGTTGTTCATAATGAAAATAATATTGCACGATTTCATTCCGCCTTTCCAGTATTGGGTGACCAGACATAGGCTGGAGTTATACTCCTATGTTGTAGATATTCCCATCGCATGAAGCGTTTCGCTTTGTTCACCATTTATATGGCGAACGGCTATGGAGCAGTTCCCTACCTGCAGACTTGTTTCTTGAATGGTATAACTTGAACTTTTTTAAGGCTAGAGTGAATAGGCATTTCTTATGTGTGCATGCTCCAACGTCGACTTCATCATCATCGTCGATTCCATCAGGTGGGATGGAGGCAAAATGTAAAAAAACATAAGGCGAAAAAATGAAGTGAAAACTGAATAAATAATAGGTACTATATGCGCGAATGACAGGATCAAGGTGAGTTGCAAGTTAACCAAATTATTTCGATGATATTATGTTTAATAGACGACATTAGCGTAACAAATTAGTATTTTTTTCGCGGCTGTCGGTCAGATGATGGAGATCTATTGTCATGGTAAAAAGACATTTGTCAAACTTATACAAAATCTCAGCCGGATAACATGTTTGTGAACGTGGTAGGTAGTTTCAGACAAATCGCAGCTATAAATTATTATGACTTACAAGTTCACTCTCAAAGCAATGAATGTAATGTGTTCCTGACAGATTCTTTTTAAGAATGTCCACGTGAAGATAACCTTAGTGATAGTGTGTTGTTATTAAAATGAACATTACACGTATTGTGTCACAGCAGGTGTCATACAATAAAACAGCATGGAGCTCCCACGCACATAATCGAGCTCTCCTCTCGTCGGATCGCGCGGGGGCGGAGTACAGTAGGACACTTCCCTCCCTTTAGATCACATAATAATAAGGTATGAATCATGTTCGCCAAATTTACGATACAAAATTTTATGGAAAATTAAAATTATATGTTTATGGCTGGGTAGGTAGGTATTTAAAAGTTGTGTATGTACTGAAATGATGTAACTGCCATACAAATACGGCCATTATTTATTCATCTTATTAACGTATGACAAACGAGTGCTTAACAACAAGCTGTACTTGTAAATACGACGGTGGTTTTTGTGGTCAAGTTCAAGTCAATTCAACTCTCAATTTAAAAGACTCGCGTATATTTGCTAATATGGAAAACCTAAATGCTATTTCTAAATCCCATACGAGTTACAAAAATTATTTGATTGTATAAACCTGGTTCATGCCTTTGTAGGGAATGGGACCTAATTTGTTAATTAAGTACAATTTTGTGCTCAATTCACATGTGAGCAGACCGGTCGCATCTCGGCAATCGTGTCACTCGCTCACGATGCACGACGGATGCAATTTTCAATGGCAATTATACACTTTGTCTAATGGACCTCATGAAACCTGTAACATTACGAGATTTTCCACTAATTAAATGACGGTAAGAACAAGCTGTCGACACACAAATGAAAGTCCATTCCACGTCAACTGACTTTATGCTGCTTATTCGCACAAAAAACAGTGCCACAACCCTGGGAGAGAAAGTAGTTCATGATGGTAGTTATGTGTTAATAATTGAATACGAAGGTTATTATTATTATGGCTCAAAATAATCGAATACGTTCTGAATACTGATTGTAGTAAGTGCTGGAAGTCGTATATTACGAAAGTGTAAACGTGCTATGAGGAAGTATTCTACTTGAATTAGTGCGTGGTTCAGTAACCTGGGAACCAAAATACTTTGACCGAGTTGGCGGCCATGCAAATCCTAGCGGTGGCTTAAAAACATCTCGCGACCATCGACCACAGATACAGCGAAGATGTAGCGAGGTCAAGTCAATAAATATCACTGACTCATCGATCTTATAACTCAAGCTATCATTAACGCGTTATTATCATATCTGAAAAATTTATTAAAGGGATTACATAATAGGCACATGTAACGAATTGCTTTAAAGCCCATATGACTCATTTTCTTTTATGGAGATCAATGTTTCGGCGACGGGTAAAATAATAAGACAATACGTGTAGAAAAACATGATACGATAATGTGTACTCTGCAGTAAATAACAATAAAGAGAGATCGTACCGTATTTGGGAATATGCGCGCCTAAAATGGCATTTGGCGACTTAAAGAGAAGTTGAAAGCGATTGTCTCACCAAAACCAATAAGCGGCGTTTTTGTTAAACGCTTTGCTTATTGTCCACGGGGACTAAGAGATTTATCGGTAATTGTTTCCGTAATAATTATAATCTTTTAAGATTGAAGACAATTTCTAAATTGTAGTAATTACCATGATTACAACAAATAATTTTGGACGTGTATTCTTTAGATATCTTCGCAATAGGTTATTCGTAATAACGCGGTATGTCGTATATTCCTTTCTGAGAAATAAAAATACATTTGAATTTATCGGTCTCTAAATAAACATAAATGAAGCGCCTGTGGCAGTTGCGAGTGATTAACTTGAGCTGTTGCGGTTCCTTTGTATTGTTTGCGTGATGTCATATCTATTGGTGTAATAATTTAGTATAGTTAAAAGATGTACTTTATAATTATTATGTTTCAAAAAGACCTAAAACCTAAATTTAATATATTCGGTCTGTTTCGAAAATTTGCTCGAATGAATATATCGAAACATTTGAATAATTCAGTGGTCTTTCGCGAATGGAATTCTCTGCTCGGCAATCTACACACGCCTCTTGGGCCGATAATAGGGCAGTAATGAGGCACAGGTGCGTCGTACCTACTAAGCATGCTAATTGAGGAATTGCTTGCAGTTAATCTGAAAGATAATCCGAAAGCGCCTACGTAAGTAGTTAATGAAACTTGAACTTAATAATGAGTGCGTGGATAAAATACAAATTACTTTTATTTATTTATTTAACGAACAATGACAACAGTAAAATGGTAGAAAACGAAATAGGACTCTACATGCCAATAGCACGTTATAAAAGGCAATTGGATAACAAACTCGTGATACAGATTATTACTTCCGAAGCTCGGATTAGGTCTGGATTACTTCCGAGTAATATTTGAAGATACTTGCAATGAGCAAACTTTGTCCCATGCAATCTTTTGGACGATATGTAATATACATAGTTATGTTTACGCACTTTCGTGTTTATGGATTCTTAGCTACGTGGAAACAAAGTTATGGAAATAATAAGAACTTCAAATAACTTTAGGAAACCGGTTCTGAAGTTTCAATTACGAGATGAGTTATACTGTAAACAAAAACTTTTCTAAGGAAAACATGTCGGATCAATTTTATGCAGAGATTAAAATAAAAAAGCCGTCCTATAAAAATGCTCATTCGGTTGTATCCTGCTATACTAAATGCTGCCGTATATATTAAAACAA